ATACTTATTTTTATTCAGCAATTACATAATTAAAAATAGAAACACGAAAGTTGTCCTGTCATATCGACAAGTTAGCTACTGTAGACTGGTATTGTTTTTTAAATCATTTGAATAATGTTGTCATAAATAGGACTAAGGTTATCAGTGTCTATTTGTAAATTAATTTTATTTGTTTGTCTTTTTATATAGAACGTTTCAGCGATCTCTCTTTTTCGTCTATTTTTCTCGGTATGTAAAATATTGATGATTCAAGCCATCGGAAGTCATGATTGCAATCGGTTTTATGTTTACTGACCACCGAGTGGCTTGTTTCATGTCTTTATATTATTCTGATGTTCTTTTACTCTAGTAATCAAATGTCTTTTTGTTTGTCCTATATACGACGCGTCACAATCATTACATTCTAGTCTGTATACTACATTCGTTTTGTTCATTTTCGGTAATACATCTTTACCGCGTTTAATTAGCGTGTTTAATTTTTTTGGAATCTTTTATAAATTATTTTTAATTCTTTTTTCTTTAGAGTTTTAGAAATGTTATCAGTCAGATTATTGATATACGGTAACATAATATGAAAAGATGTCAAATTTTTTATTGATATTTTCATCTCTCTTGTTGTCAAAACTATTATTAATATTATTAATTACATGTAATCTTTTTTTAATTTGTTTTTTAATAACATGAGATGGAAAATTATTATTGGTTAGAATATCTTTAATAATTTGAATATTGTCACTATGAAATTTATTGTCAGACAATAGAATGGCTCTATCGACCAAGTTGTTAATGCAATTAATTTTATATTTGAGTGGGAAAGAAAATTGATATATCTTCCCGAAAAAGTGGGCTTCCTATACCAATTAGTGATTAGACTCCTATCATTACATCTGATAATACTTGTGTCAAGAAAGTTTAAACAATTGTCTTTTTCAATTTCATAAGTAAATTTTAGGCGATGGTGGTACGCATTAAAAACTGATAACATTTCATTAACCTTAGAGCGTGGTAAAATCGTGAAGATGTCGTCAACGTATCTATAGTACACCGGTACATTAAAAGTCAATGAATTTAAACAAAAGGTTTCTAAATCGTCTATGACAATATCTGCCAAAATGGGTGACAATGGAGAACCCATCGGGCTGCCGAAAACTTGTTCATAAAAGTGGCCATTAAAACTAAATATGGAATCTAATATAGTTTCTATTGCGAATGTAAGCTGTGACAAATTCAATGTGGTATTCTGTGAGATTGTGTTCCATCTCTTTTTAATGGTTTCAATTACAAGTTCTTTAGGGATGTTGGTGTATAATGATGTTGTGACCGAACGGGCTTATGGTGGTATCCTAGACAACCGACTTACCAGTCAAGATGGCCCCGCTTTCGTCTTTAGAACGGTCGCCAGTTGCTTTATCCTATATAAGCAACAAGGTAGTTTTCGCTCGAAGTAATCCAGTCTTCTCACAGGGTCAGGGATGGCTGCTTTCCTCCCGCTCGTGATGTATCTGGCCCGTCCTGCTGTGGATGGGTTTGGTCTACTAGATTCTTATCGATACTAATTTTTCCTTTTTATTTTCAGGAACCCCAGGATTTCATCCAGTTGGCAGCTTCGGTCCTGACAAAGGATCAACGTGGGACAGGCGCTGATGAGGGTAAGTATTCACTCACAATTGAGATTCACAACACTTATTTATTATCCTTATATTTAGAGTACATAAGAGATTTCCGCTCATTATACAGGCACTTATTTATCCCGACGCGTAGGTTTAAAGTCTCTCGACTCAATTGTACCTATCAGCTATAGCTGAACTAGCACTTACTTTTGATTTAAGATTAAGGAAGATAGCGTGTAGAATAGTACACTACTATTCTTAGTTATACGCAAACTCTACCGGATCGCGGCGTTAGACTATACGGGTAGCTTCCGTCCTTACGCTTTGACGTCTCGCGGCACTCGAACCTCGAAACCTCTTTCGGCACCTCTTTTATAGTGTCCTGGCGCAGTTTCGCCCCTCTCCGAGTCCGTTCGCCAATCCGCGCGTCGTTGCCCCACCGCGGGCGCTCGCACGAATCCCGTCGCTACGCTATACGGTCGGTGTCGCAAGAGTTCCAAATCTTATTTTCTCGTGATAGGCTTTATTTAACAAGAGTGTTCCTGTTTCTCAATTATTAGATCATAATACAGTAACTTTCGGTAGGCACAAACGAGGATGTTATGTTTGGTATTTACTTAACTTAAAGTAACATTATTTTTGGGAAACGCATTAGGGATGATAAATTAGATAACATTAATCGAAATAAACTTCAATAAGAAAACAAAAACGCAAAACATAGAATCACCTGCGATGAAACAAACAAAACAAAAAACAAACATGCCATTCTTAATTCAATCGCTTACTTCATACGCTGTATTTCTTAAACTTATAACGCGAATCCTTCGTGCGCTCTGTCTCACCTTTTAGGGTTTTATTTAGACTTTCAGCTGGGTTGATTTTAGCGCTTGATTGCGGTTTCTTATAGTCTAATAACTAACCTAGTATATTTTTAGTCCGTCTATCGGGTTTTTTATTCTTATTAATATTTTTGGGTTTTCCTATTTACTTTTGATGGAAACGATTTCTGGGCAGTTTTGCACTTAGTTATCACTTGTGATTCGACCTCCATCATTATTTTGCTCCCATCGGTCCTTTTCCGGATTTTCTCTGATTTTATTGATGGACCGCAGATTGTCATTGCTCTATCTAGTTTCATTCCTCTAGAATGCATTTCCGCCCAGAAAACTGCTCCATCATCAGTTTTTCCTTATACCTTATTTTTCGGGCTTTTGTGACCTTACTCGCTCTATTTATGTATTACTTAACCAAATATGAGTCAATCGAATAAATAGATTATAGCAACTTATTGCCGATCATAAACTAAAAATTTGACTAATCTTTTCCTTAGAACAAAACACTAATAATGGTAAACCAAAAATATTCATTAAAGATAGCATAATCAAAATAATAATAATAAAGAAAATTAAATATCATCAGGCAAAAATTTAGAATCTCATATTTATATCCTATTATGAATAACTATTCTACTTATCGTTAAACTTAAGTTAAATGTTTATTATTATTCTTACTATTCTACTATATACATTTCTTCCGCTTACGCTTTCTCCTCCGTGCTATTTACAGCTACCTTGGTTTTCCACTCTGGGTCGTAAGGCATCCATGGGCTGCTGACGGGCTGGACGGCATCTGACTGCTGCGCTGGGTCGCGCTCCGCTACCGGTCGCAATGTTACATCTAATGAAACTAAAACTTTGTCGTCATTAATGATCATATTTTTTATTTTTTTTGCAAATGACCAACCGTCTTTTATATGCGATTTCGGTTTTTCTATAGTATTGTGTAGAATTTTATGTATGTACTGTGCAATATTGTATACAGGACTGCCAAGTGCAGATACAATAATTCGGAGAGGAACGCCAGTTTTATGTATCTTCGGCAGCCCGTAGCATTGAGGGAGATTTCCATTTGTATTATTTAATACCTTATACGTTGATTCGTCAATTACATTGTTATCGCGCCAAGACTTTACCAAAAGATTAATTTTATTTGTTAATTTTTTAATAGGATTTTTGTCTAATTTTTTATAAGTGGTTCGATCATCCAACAAGGAGCTCATTTTTAAAAGGTAGTCACTTTTGTTCATTATTACTATGGCTTGCCCTTTATCCGTTTTTAGTTATTAATAAATTTTGGTTGTTACGTATGAAGTTTTTGCAATTAGCCTTTTAAGGTTGATTACGATAGTGACAGCAAAAAGAGAGAAAGAAAACAAAAAGTTTATTAATATATAAAATAAAAATATATATTTAAAATTTTCCCCCCTTACATGTGACTCCTTGATGTGGGCAATATAATCACTTTCTGTTATGTAAATTTCTAATTTACTGGGTTTATTTATTGCTCGCACATTCTATCAAAGATTTTACTTCGCCATAACTCAATAATATTTCAACCTGAGGGATTTTAATTTTACTTTATTTAACTTCTTTTTCATTCATCTAACTTAGAGAAAGACGGTTCACCTTGGTTAGCGGTTCAGAGTCGGTTCGTTCTCTTAAGTGAATCGGTTCTTTTACACGATTCATCGGTTCTTTATAAATAATTATTTTTTCTTTTTTAAATTTATTCTCGTACAAAAAATCTTTTATATTCGCTTATTTAAGCTTAATATAAATCATGAATGTTTAGGAAATACAAAAAAATTTTTTTCTTTATTATATATATATTTTTATTATTATTAATAATATATTAATTATAATAATTTAACATTATGTTGCACAACTAAAATTTGATTAATTTTTTTGTTGTTAATCGGCTTCTTTTTTCATTACAAATTTGTCCCGCTTTAAAAAATATTCTTTCACATGGGACCGAAGTTGCAGGGATGCAGAGCCTTTTGAGCATTATTTTATATAAATTTGGGTATAGATTTTTTCTTGCTTCCCACCAAATTAGAGGATCGTTTGTCCTGGTAATGTGGAGTTCGGCCAAATATTTGTCTAACTCTATAATTGCTGCAGTAGAGGGATTGTGTATTCCTTGAAGGTGGCTTATTGCGATATCAAATTCTTTCCAAACTGAGATTGTCGAAGATGTCGTCAAAAGAGGTTGGACTGGTTGGGAATGTTGGGACAAAGGCCCGTATTCATAGTCGAGTCTCAAATTAACACATAAGATGATTATGATCAAGTCTATTTTATTCAATCTAGATTGTCTTAAGATTAATAGATTTCATAATCGTCATAGATCTCATAGTCGTGAAATAAGACAATCTTCGTGAAGAAGTTAACACTCAAGTAAATCTTATTTAATTTGAGACTGACTTGATGAAGACATACTTAAGCCTGTGCTTATTTTCGCGCGCGCGAATCGGCTATTTTCGTAATATTACTATTATTTCTCCAATAGGAACATAGCATTTCCTCCAATAGGAACATTGCATCGGAAACACATATGATACATGCAGACATGCAATATACGTATTCTTGTGTGCTGTTATCTTGCGTTCGTACGGATGTGTTTCATCGCTTCAATTTTCAATCTTCATTGAAAAAAATCATCGAGAAATATACAGGTTTGAAATATATGTAATTAATGAACGATGATATTTGAATCTTATTGAGTAAAATTAAACTTTAGTAGATATTAAATATATATTTTTTACAGAATGTCTTGCAAAGAGAAGCCTACAAGCAAAAACAAACACTATTTATTGATGGAAAGGAAATTATTCTTACAAATACTAGAAAAACATGTAATAGAAATAAAAAAAAGCGACGGCACAACATTAAAAGATAAAGACCTTGCATGGAGTGAAGTATGTAAAGAATACAATCAATCGGCACTAATCTCTCAAGAAGTAAGAACTTTATATTTTTGATTATGCGAAGGGCCTAATATAGCAGATAATAATATACGCTTTATTATATTACACAATATTTTGATTACAGAGAACTTCAACAATTGAAAAAATTGTGGCCAAATCTAAAGCAGTCGCAGAGAGATGTATTAACTAAAGAAAAACAATCGCGTTTAGCAACTGGTGGAGGACCAGAAGAAACTGAAGCAAAAATTGATCCTGATGTACTTAATATAGCACCACATCTAATGAAAAATGCACCAGTATTATTTACATCAAATGTGACAGATTTAGAGATTGAAGGTACATCTACAATTAACTATTATTAACCTAATTTAATGTGACCTCTGAATTTTTTGCAATATAATTATTGAATATTTTCTAATATTAATGTTTTATTCTTATTGCTTCTTGTTTTTATTATTATTTTATTAACTTCTATTTATTTCAGAAAAGCGTGAACTTACATTTGACATAGTATCTACAAATGAAAATTTAGATACATTAGACCCCACAAACAATAATGAAGATCTTATAAGTGATGAGAGCGACAAAAAAAAATATTGATTCACAAGGTATTTATTATTAATCATATTAATAATAATAATATTATGTCCACTATATTGATCTGTAAAATAAATTAAAAAAAAACATGTTATCTTAATTTTTTGTAAAAGATATATATCATTTTTAATACATTATTTACTGAAGATATTTTTCATTTTTACTTCTATTTTATAAATTTTTACTTTTATTTCATTAATTTATATTTGTATTTTAGATAAATGCAAGATTGAATTCAATACATCTACTAATGATATTATTTTAACATCAGATAGTGAAAACAAAGATTATTTTAAAAATAATGAGATCGGGCAAAAAATTATTGATATACATACTTTAAAGAGATATAATAAACAATCAATACATTCTAGTACTACAGATACACAAAGGAAAAAAGAAAATGCATCAGGATGATCGTTACTCAATGCGAAGAGTTATTGCAAATAATTGCACCTAGAATAACCCGGCAATATGTTGTTCGTAAGCTAATTGAGACAGAACAGCGATTAATAATATGTTTAAGGTAATGTGGTCAGTTAATTTATCTCTTATACCTATGTAGTTATAGCAACTGAGGAAATTTATAATAATTTTTAATATTTCAGATATTTAGCCAGTGGTGGTAGTATGATATCTTTGCCACACTAGTATTCAGTGAGTCAATCATTAGTCACGCAAATTATTCCTAAAACATGCAATTATTCTGCAATTTCTGGGCCTTTCCTTTACTTCTCTTGGGATTATATAGCCAGACTCTCTCTCTCCTCGAAATGAATTGTTCTAACTTTCCTATCATATCTGGCTTTCATTTGTGAAGACTTTAAAGTCATACGTTTCCTAACACAAAAACGAATTTCTTCTAATTTTTCCTTTAAATTATCCACAAAATTCTCTGAAGGCAATTTCTCTGTATTAAATTTAGGACTTTCTTGTAACAAGTTTACTGGTAGCCTAAGTTCTCGAGCGAAGTACAACTCGGCAGGAGTCACTCTTGTAGTCTCATGTTTTGACGATCTATATGCCAAGAGAAACATAGGAATCTATTCATCCCAATGTTTCTGATTTTCAGAAATGTATTTCGCCAAGTAATTGATAATTGTCTGATGTTGACGTTCCACCTGGCCATCTGATTGAGGATGAAGAGCAGTAGTCCTTGTCTTTTTGATTTCAAGAAGTCGCATTAATTCTCCAAATAACTGAGACTTGAAATTCTTTCCTTGATCTGTGTGAATTTCAATAGGCACTCTATGCCTTGAAAGAAACTGACTCACAAAAATTTCAGCCACAGTCTTGGCTCTAATATTTTTGACAGGGAAATCTTCCACCCATTTTGTGAAACAATCCACCATTACAAGAAGATACTTATTCCCTGACTTAGTCAACCGAAGAGGACTAAGGATATCCATTTGCACCCTTTCTAATGGAGCTTCGACGTTATAAAAATGGGTACTTCCTTTTTCCGAAATATTTCTATCCAATTTGGAACGTTCTACACGGATTTTCTCAAGAGTTGGATAAATACTAATAAGAGAATTATAAATGCGAAGTTACAATTAATATTTTTGTTGCATTATATTTCCGTTAAAGTCTGAAGAGGATCTAAGTTGGGGTCGAAACGTAAATGTTTTTAATGGCGACTTTTAAGGAATTATATTTGACAACGTTGCAAGGTGTGCGCTTACGTCGCACTTCAGTTCATCATGTACGGTTTAGTATCAACTATTTAATATGTTTAAAAAAAAGAAAAATAATTTAAATATATATATATATATATATATGTATATATAAATGCAAAAAATATAAATAAAATATAGAAATCAGGCTTTAGGGAAAAATTCTTATGCGAAACGACATTACAAAGCACATTTATCGAATGGAGAGAAAATATGGATAATAGCGAAATGATAGAAGTGGTATTTTTAGATTTTAAAAAAGCGTTTGAAACAGTTAATAAAAAATTGTTATTAAGAAAGTTAGATAAATATGGAGTGGCAGGTACAGCGTATAAATGGTTTGTAACGTATCTAACTAATAGAAAACAACAAGTTAAGCTAGGAAGTACTATATCGATGATAAAAAATACAATTCACGGAGTTCTTCAGGGATCCGTGCTAGGACCACTGTTATTTATTTCGTATATTAGAAGACGCGGTAGTGTCTCCGGCCATGTTCAAACCCTAAAAGACCTTAAAAGACACTACAAGTCTCCTTATCCTGCACTATCAAAGTCCATTTTTTGGGGGTGTAGAACTACTAAAATATAAAAAATTTTGAATTGCACATAATATAATCTAAAAGGCGGCATCGCCACGAGTAATTTGAGCCAAGAAGGAATAAAATCGGTCAAGCCGTTCTGGAGATACAAGCGGTCAAAAAGTGACGTTTTTCATGAAAAATGAAGTAACGTCGTCTTCTTCTTCTTCTTCTTCTTCTCTGTCCGCGTCCGCTGACGTCATCAGGATTATATATATCCTAAAAAAATCATAAAAATGAAAAGGTCAGGCCATGTTCAAAAGAAGGTACTCAAAAATTTAAACGATCTAATAATAAATTATCACGAAAAGTAACTGATATGTTATTCAAGGTGCCAGTTCAAAGTGAACATACGTAAAGTGTATATTATCTAAATTTAGTAATAATATATTACCATGAAAAGTAACTGTGATATTTTATTCAAGGTGCAAGTTTACATTGAATATACATACATATAAGTAAAACTGATTACAATTTGATTCTAGAAAATAAGTGCGATATGTTATTCTTAGTGCACAAAATATAATAGTCGTTTATAGAGATTTGATTTGAAATTCATACTAGCCCGTACAATGAAAAATAATTGCTCGTAATGCCAGAGTACCAATTTGTTAATGACTCAGAAAAATAACATGGCGGCCTGCTCTCAAAAAACTTTTGATGGGTAGAATAAATAATTGAAATAAGAGTTGTGAAAATTGTATAAATTAAAAACCTCCAATCTTTCTTTAGTAAAATTTCGAATTTTCGTATCAACTTCCGATTTGTGTTATACCGTATTTTCAGGGAGTCGTATACCCAATACATGCGAAAAGAATCGATAACGAATCTGCATTGAAGTTTTATCAAATGGTGAAAATTGAAGATTTTCCAATGGATAATCGTTATAAATATCTGGATGTCATGTGTTTCCCTGATTTATATCCTGATGGTGTCAATGGACAACGAGAAGATAGAAACTTTGCATTGCCGGAATATTTATTTATTACAACACGATTGATGTCAAAACATAGTAGATTCAGGTTGAATCTGCAGTATCTGTTCTTCCTTCTCAATGATGCTAACTACCGACAGTTGAAAAGTGGTATCTATTATACGATGATGGTTACTAACCCACGAGAGAGATACACTGCTGGTAGATACTTGAACGAATTGAAAGGTTACGAATTAGAATCGAATTTAATGAGTATTTTCGCAAAATTGAGAAATACGGATCAATTTTGGCGACAACCGTCCAATAATGTAAAATGCATGACTTTGCATTACGGTCCAGCGACGTGGTTTTTGACTTTGAGTCCTAGTGAATGGAAATGGTCCGATTTAGGTGAATATTTACGAGATATGAATCCCGATAAAGAGAAGTTAGGCATCAACGAACTAATCGCATACGATCCTGTAAGTACTTCTAGATTCATGTGCATAAAATTCAAAGCCATGATTGATTTTATTTGTTCGTCCGATAATCCTATAGGAAAGATTATTCATTACTTCTGGCGACTGGAATATCAACGTAGAAGTATGCAGCACATGCATTGTATGATTTGGATAAAAGATGCTCCAGTATTAGGAAAATCGCCGGATGAAGAAGTTGCTACGTGTCTAATGTAATACTTTTCGTATTTTAAATGTTGTAGTAATTATTCTGGAAGAGCTTTGACATTATTTCTAAATGGACATCGAGAAACATCATAGTTTTTTGAGAGCAGGCCGCCATGTTATTTTTCTGAGTCATTAACAAATTTGGTACTCTGGCATTACGAGCAATTATTTTTCATTGTACGGGCTAGTATGAATTTCAAATCAAATCTCTATAAACGACTATTATATTTTGTGCACTAAGAATAACATATCGCACTTATTTTCTAGAATCAAATTGTAATCAGTTTTACTTATATGTATGTATATTCAATGTGAACTTGCACCTTGAATAAAATATCACAGTTACTTTTCATGGTAATATATTATTACTAAATTTAGATAATATACACTTTACGTATGTTCACTTTGAACTGGCACCTTGAATAACATATCAGTTACTTTTCGTGATAATTTATTATTAGATCGTTTAAATTTTTGAGTACCTTCTTTTAAACATGGCCTGACCTTTTCATTTTTATGATTTTTTTAGGATATCACTTACTTTTTAAAGTACAGATATATAGAGCAGCTTTCTAGTAATTCAAGTATTACAAATATATGTATTTTCGATTCTTATCACATAACTTTGTATAAGTAACAATTTATGCAATACAGTTCAAAATAATTGAAATATATGGTATATATGTACATATATAAAATATATAATTATATTATAGTATACATATATATTTTATTTAATCATATATGTAAATGTTTGTATAATTGTAATAACTTTTAACGATACATTGCACATTTATTTCAATTGCAACAGAATGAAT